TACACCTGAAATTGCTCAAATGGGACTAAGAGTGGAAATAGACCAGGAAAGTCAATGTCCAAAGATGGTAAAGGCTTATCAGGTATGTTCCTCTACTAATTAAATTCATGTTGTTGACTGGCTAGATAAACTGAAGGGAGATCAATGTATTCAATTCATTGAATCATTGTTTTCCTTAATTGCATTTGTTGCCACAGGCCCTTTTTCAGATTATAGATGTTTGATGCGCAATCCTAAGTTCTAATTTTATGTTCTTTTTAGCATACAAACATTACTATACCAAGCAATCTTAGTGAGAAGCAATGTTTTAAATTTCAAACGATACTACCTTTATCGGGCAATACGTATCGGTCTATCAGCAGACCAGTACGCAGACCGCCTGCTATCGGGCGGTATCAGCCTGGCTGCGGTGAGGGAAGAAGAAGCGTCGAGGGAGAAGGAAGAAGAAAGGGAGAGCATTCGAAGAAGAGGGAGAATCGGGAGAACCTCGACGCGTCCTGATCCGGCGCCGCCCTCCCTCAACGATCCCAATCCAGGAGGTAATGGCCAAGCAACGGCTAGAGGAGCAGAAGAGGCGGTCTCCTTCATCATCTTGTTTGCGATTCTACGGCTTCTTCTTTGCCGCACTCTTTGTCGAAGGTCGGAGACGTATGTGGCCTTTGATATCTTTGTCACTTTCTTCGCTGAAGACCGCGTTCTTCTCCTCGTCTGAGGCGACGAGGAAAAAAGGAGGCGACATCGCCAAGGCAGCATACGCCTTCATTATAGATTATATATATATATATATATATATATATATATATATATATATATATATATATATATATATATATCGCTTGATATGTCCTAGCGTATTGCTCGGTACTTCCGTACCGTATCGTACTGAGCAAAGTTCGATACATTGGTATGGTACGAAATTTCAATCCTTGGTGAGAAGATCTATAAAATAAAATGAAGTCTAAACATTTCTATGCTTACCGTTTTTGGTTCTTATGAAATTTTTAGATATACAATAATTTTTTCTCCATAAATTTTCATCTTTTAAGAATATGGCCTTGCTACTCGTCTAATTATCTGTAGAGAATGATGATTCCTTTATTCTGATATAACAGAAGGTTCTCTTTGATTAGATGGTTATAGCAGACACAAGCATGTAATTTTGGAAGGATTTTTTGAAAACTAGAACTAATAAATTTGCAGTATGATTTAGAGCATTTCTTCCTATTTCTTTTTTTATGCTTGTTTTGGTGATGATACACATTTATTTACCTTTGTGAACTTGTAAAAAGAGGGCCTCCAAAGTGTCTCTTGTTAAAATGTAGGTTTTGCGAAGGAAAAGTTTCCATCATTTCACTTGGTTTTTTTGGTTTCTTATAGCAAATCACGAGTTGGTTTCTCAAAACTGTAGCTCTTTGAAAGTTTATGAGCTTGGTTAACAGGTTAAACCACCTGTACAAAGAATAATCAAAGCAAATTATGCACAAATAATCATTGCTAAGATGCAAAGCTAAAAGCATGACTCTGAATATCAAGTATCAAGGCCAAGATCAGATGATTTATAACAGAACATAGAAAACATAAAAAAATGGATTCAGCTTGTTTTCAACTTGTTCTTGAAATCTTACAGACAATTGGCTTCAAGTTCTACTGGCTTCATGTTCAGCATGGGATGCAACATATCATGTGAGCAGCATGTCCATCCTTGTTTGTACGAAATTTTTGTTGTTATATGACTGAATCTCTCTCTGCACTTTCAAATGCTATCTTCTTCATTTGCCCCGAAAGGGGAGGGTGGCTGTTGGTTTTCTATTACCTGTTCTCCCAGAACAAGTACTTGAGGCTTCTAAAGTAAATTTTGTTCAGTGTGATTGTTTGCTTTTGCTATTGATGTTCCACCTACGTGACATCATAGCTATGAATTGTGATGGGAATCTTATGTATAAAAAATTATCTACAAATTCTTTTACACGATGATAAGCTAGTATCTTCCAATTTACAGGAACAAGAAGATGATCCTTGTCAATATTATGCCAATGGACAACTTACATAAGTCACCAGTCTGGATAGCTGAAGATGCCCATCAGTGTCAATGAAGAGACTTAGCAAAGTGTTCAAAAAGTCAGTTCCCTGCTTTAATGGGTTTATTTGTCATGCACTTCTTTTTATTTTATTTGTCATGCACATCTTAAAAAAGTGAGTCATGCATAGTTTTATAATACGCTATGGTAGTCTTTTTGATAGGAATTGCATGTTTATTTTAAAGATTTTTTTTAGCTGTTTTTGAGCGATAAAACATCTGGTCATTGTTGAGGAACAGTTAGGTTTTTGTAAATAACATACATTGTTCGGGCAATCAATTTCACTCTTATTAGTCTTTTGTTTGTTCCATGATCTCTTTTTATTTTTGGAGCCCTGGAAACTATGTTTGATTGTTGTAGCTCTCTGGGCAGAATAAACTCCTATGAACTATACATTGTGTAGCTTCATATATATGGAACCAAGAGGTGTACCGTAAGATGTCAAGGAGATTGCTTGCAGGAATCATGGTTGCTGCCCTTGCAAGTAAGATATACTAGTTAGGTTTACTATATTATGATCTTGAAGCAAACATTAAATATCACAAATAATATTCCGAATAGGCCAAGAGGGAACAGAAGTGGTATCAAGCAAATACATCAGATCTCTTATCAAAGTGAAGCTGGACCTTAGCTAACCCTATAATGAAATTCTAGATTGAAATTGTAGTATAAATTGTTTCAGTGTATGGATCTTATTGTCCCCTAAACGAGCTGTACCATTAGCAACTATCAGTTGATTTCAAGATTGGACTTGCTTTGGTGGGTTTCAAAGCTTTTTGTCCTGAGTGAAAGCTTATAGTCCTTGTTCTCCATGGATGCAGAGGAGATTCATGTTTTTTTCCTTAAAGGTGAGGTATGGTATGGTGCTGTGGACCCCTGTACCATGTAAATCATGAACAGAAAAATGAAATTTCTACATCTGATTGTTCCTCACTTTTAATTTCTTGAATTACTCGCATTCAATTCAGGCTGCATTAACGACAGAAAACATGGTTAGATAAACTGTATTGTGCTCGAGCAGCTCAGCTATACCTATGCATGACAGAAAGATGGGTCTCTTCCATCAAAATTGAAGAGTAGGAGTGTATCAGCAAAGATCTTCATCTGCTTGTGTGTCAACTTCCTTCCGAGACAAATCTGAGGGTCAGCCGACAGTACCACGAGCAGCAAAATGCAGGCTTTTGGTGTGCTTATAGGATCAATCAGCGTATTAGCTTGAGATAGTTCTTGCAGGGTACAACCAGAGAGTGTCGGATAGAGATGCGTGGAGGTACTGCATCTCGTTGAGGGCTTCCTCGGTTAGGCTCGCGACAAATTCGTCGATGGTTAGCTTCTCTCACCTTGCTCCTCTTTTTTATGTTTGTGCATTGAGATGCTTACATAGAACCATGAAAGGATCCAGCTGTGGTATCTCTGCATGCAACTACAAGGTTGAGCATGATGTCTCTCGAGTACTTGTAGCTCATGTCAGTAGGATTTTTCTCTCTTTCGATTAGAAATCTCGACAAGATGTCTTCTTTCTCCATCTGCCATAAAGAACGATGACAAAAGGTCAATTTTGACTTGATAGTTTACATAGTTGCTCGATCAATTTATACCCAAAACCATCCATCATTTTTGGGTTCTTCTTCATCTTGGCTTCTTCTCCAATATTCGGAAACCTCTAAATTTCCACAAGACATCGAAGTGCCGACTTAGCAATCGAGCACTTGAATCATCGAATGCCTCTGCAAAAGGTTCTCCCTTCTTTATTCTATGCAGATAATGTATTTAGTTTTATCCCGAAGCCTACTTTAAATATGGAATCCAACATGGACTCGATGAACAAATCGTGAAGAGAAACATGGCATCCAGGAGTTGGCGATCGTGGCACAATCAATATAGTCTCCGTCACCTGGATCTCGATCATCTCATGAAATCTTGCTGCATCCGGTGGCACCACTTCTGACCATCCACTGCAAAGATCCCATCCCCCAATAAGCTGCTCATCACATCATACTTAAAAGCCGCCCTGGACCACAATTCACTCAGTTTATCTTGCCAAAGTTGACGAAGTTTGTCTCGAGGATGTACTCGACGTTTGCAGAGTTGATGGTGTAGAGGTGTAGATTTAGTTACAGGAGGGGATGAACCTCCTAACAGTTTTGTGCTTACGAGAGAGATCGATGTAGAAATCCATAGCCTATGCAGGTTTAGGAATTAATGGAAGATAGATGGTTCCACCTTTTTCTTCTTCTTCGAAACTGATGAGCATCACAAAAACAGTGGCTACGGGAGATAAAATGCTACCATCACAATTGCAGTTGTGAGAGAGTTATTTAAGAAGAGAGGTTGCAAACTTGGGATGAACTCCATGGAAGCCCAAAGAGGAAGGAAATGAGAATGGAGATCGTGTTGATGAAGATGCCACAGGAGTGGGGTGACGGACCCTGATACATGACGCTATACGCATTACACTAGTATATCGGATATATTGTCACACTTACAGATGGTTGGCGGCTGAGATGTGAATAAATGGTTGCTTGGCAGTGAAGAAATGGCTGCCAAAAGTTTCTCTTCATCTTTTTTGTCATGCGGATTCGCACATTGCAATAGCATCGCTTAACACATAGACCGCACTTGCTTGGAGGGCTTCGATAATTAATATGCCCCCCATAGACCGCACTTGCTTGGAGGGCTTCGATAATTAATATGCCCCCCATAGACCGCACTTGCTTGGAGGGCTTCGATAATTAATATGCCCCCCAAGCCCTGAGGGAATGGTGGGAGAATGGAGGTAAAATCCCTTTTACGTTCTTCTAACCGATGGTTCATCTATTTCTTCCATCCAATCTGCAGGCTCCCGTTTCCTTCTTAAAGCTGCAGATGGTGAATTCCTTTTATTAGGGGGCAACTGCTGCAAGACATCGAGCCCCTTAATGGCAGAAGCCAATGCTCTTTTGGAGGAACTGAAGGCAATCCAGGACCTGCACTTGCTTGGAGGGCTTCGATAATTAATATGGCCCCCCCAAGCCCTGAGGGAATGGTGGGAGAGTGGAGGTAAAAATCCAGGACTTCCAGTCCTGGATCACCAAGTTTCATTTCCTAAATATTTATAGATGCATGAGAGGTTCATGCTCCTTCGGTAGAGACTACATTAAATAACGACATAAAGCATGATTTAAGCATACTAATCTGCGTTCAAGCAACCTTGTCTGTGAAGAGCAGCGAGATGGAGTCCTCCATAAATTTGAAGAGTGAGCATGGTCCTTGATCTCACTGTGCTCATCTCTTCCCACATCTTGAATTTAAAGAAGCACAGTAGTGTAGCAGCAAAGATCTTCATCTGCCTGTACGCGAACTCCTTTCCAAGACAGATGCGAGGGCCAGCCTGCAATACCACGAGCATCCAAAGAATCAACCACTTTCAGATCGACTTATCCAGCTAATTGCAGGTTTTTGGTTGCCTCACCTGGAAAGCAGGGAACTTGAAGGGGCTTTCTGGCACAAATACACCGTCACCGTTGAGCCATCTCTCTGGCCGGAAATCCTCTGCATCCTCACCCCACAGGAACTGCATTCTTCCCATAGGATAAGGTTGGTAAATCACCAAGTCTCCTTTCTTGACGTCGAATCCATCTGGTAATGTGTCCTCCGAGAAGCAATGCTTGACATCCTATGATGACACATGTGAGTCAGTAAGCAAGCACTGAGTGCCAACGAGGATCGACCAGCATATTAGCTTCAGATAGTTCACCAGTGGAACTGCAGGGTACAGCCTGAGAGTCTCGGTCAGAGATGCGTGAAGGTACTGCATCTCGTTGAGGGCTTCCTCGGTTAGGCTTGCGACGAATTCGTCGACGGTCACTTCGCCCTTTATCTTGGTTGCTTCTCTCACCTCTTGTGCTACTTTTTCTTGTACATTGGGATGCTTGCATAGCATATAGAAGAACCATGAAAGAGTCCCTGCCGTGGTGTCCCTTCCTGCAATCACAAAGTTGAGTATGATGTCTCTCAAGTACTTGTAGCTCATGTCATCAGGATTTTTCTCTCGTTCGATTAGAAATCTCGACAAAATGTCTTCTTTTTCCATCTGCCATGAAGAAAATATGATCAGTATGTAGAACCTCCTGTTTCAAGATGTCAATGCCAGGTGTGACTTACGAATCCGGTTTCTCGTTGAGACAATTGCTCAATCTTTGTATCGATCAATTTGTACACAAAATCATCGATCGATTTGAGGCTCTTCTTCATCTTGGCTTCTGAGCCAATGTTGAGGAACCTCTTGACCTTCCAAAAGACATCAAAAAACCGGAGCACTATTTGAGCGCTTGCATCGTCGAACGCCTTGGCAAAAGTTCTCCCCTCTTCAGTCGATCCGGTCAACGTATCCAACTCCACACCAAACCCAACTTCACATATGGAATCTAACGTCGACTTCATGAGCAAATCCTGAAGAGAGATTAAGGAATGGTCAAGCTCGGCCAGGTTAGGACGGCAGCATGTTCTAAGTCTCGCTTACTTGGATCTCGATCATTTCATTAGATCTCGCAGCGTTTGAGATTATCTTAGCAAGTCTGGCAGCAGTGCTTCTGAACACCACACTGCTGTTGTTCTTCAACACCTTTGTGGAAAATTCGAAGCTCGCTAGTTTTCTCTGATGGCGCCACTTCTCACCATCCACCGCAAAGATTCCATCGCCAAAGAAGTCGCACATAATATCGTAAGTAAAGCTCCCCTGCAAAGAAGGTGACGTTCATCGAGCAATTCTCTATTCCCTATATCTCACACATCTCAGAAAAAGCCTTTTAGTTGGGAGATGATTGAAGTACCTTCCCATAGTTTGCAAAGTTGATTTTGAGGATGTGCTCGACGTTGGCAGGGTCGACAGTGAAAACATAGTTGCAGAAGGGGGTGAGGATTCGGAAGGTCCTGTACTTGCGGGAGAGGTCGGTTTGGAAATCTGCCAATCGACTGAGGTTTAGCAATTGGTGGAATACTGTTCCTGCGATGGGTGGGTAATTTGGCTTCCTTCGGTGAACACTTGACGAGCAGCGCCGCAGCAATCGTCTCAGGAGGAAGAGTGCCAGCATCACGCTGGCAGCAGTGAGAGCTGGGAAGACGGGAGATGGGAAACTGGAGAAAAAGTCCATGAATCCCGATCGATGATGTTGGGATAGATAAGAATGTTTTACAGATATTCTATTGTCGGTGGATTGCAATATGAAGATGCATTGCAAAGAAGGGCAATCTTATCAACTGACAATAAATGTACTTGCATACTTTGCCTACCACCCAAAAGGCATCTAGATGTGGAGAAAGAGCTGAGATTTTTAGTTGTAGTGACCCTGAGACCGACACATAAATCCTATCCGAGTGCCGTGCGCATTCGAGTTCTTAGTTTAATCATCCCCTCCGAGTTGACGATGGGCTGCGTGCGGATTCGACTTCATCTCCCCGCCGCCCCCCGCACTCCCCCCCGCCCCCACCCGCCCCCCGAGTCGACGATGGGCGGAAGAATCGCTTCCACTTACAAAAGATGCCACTAAACTTACTCTACCACGAAATGGTGATGTTTCCTTCTGACTGCCTAACCTTAGAAGTGATCAAATAAGGTGGAATCCTTTCGTCTTACTCCGCCATGAATTAATGCTTGATAATTTTTTTTAGTTATAGTTGATCTGGATATTACTTTACAAATGCTCCTGATACTATGCTAATAATTTTTATTTATTTTCTCAAATTATCCCATGATATCCTCTAAAATCATAAGATTTCCATGAGATAAAATTTTATTTATTTATTTTTAAAAATTATTTTATATTTATTCATATAATTATATTTCATATTAATTATATATCTTGGTCAGACAAATTTTTTTATAAGAATATATATAATATGTATTTATTTTGAATATATATTAAAAATATTAGAAAGATAAATTTGTTATGTAGTGTTCAGTGAAATTTTATAATACAATCTTACCAAACAACACTTACATCAATATATATTTAAAATATAATTTTTATTTATTGTTTGCTGAGCCATTTCACAAGTACACATCCAATCAAATTTGTTTCTCTAAATATACATTAAAAATATAAATGTATTCCTAAACACAACTTACGATTAACAAGTCTCTTCATAAAATTATTATTTTTATTTAAAAATTATGATTAGTTTGATCATTAACCTGCTTATGTGTTAAGTTCATCTGAGGATGGCTTTGAAGATATACACATCTTAAGATAATTTTCATATAAAAATAAATTTTATCTGTTAGTAATCTTTGGCATCTTTGGAGACATCCAATAAAATTATTTCTTCTTTTAGTTCTGTATCCTCTCAATTCTATACTAATTATTGGTTTTATTTGTCTCATCAATTATTCATTCGCCTATTTATCACTTCTTAATCATACATAACACGATCTTGCTTTTTTTTTTTTATTTGGGAAGGTTCCTATCATATATTTATTTTTATGCAAATTTATATTCTATATCTTTTTTTAGACTTCAAGTTACATATCTTTGCAGCTTATCCATGAAAAGTTTATGCAAAAACCTGAGCAATCAAACGATAACGTGTAGAAAATTATTCTTACTAAATTACTATTTATTTATCTGAACAAGTGATTTCATCAATATCTAGGTCAAACAATTTTGTAAGCCATTTTTTTTGGCTTATTTTGATAAATCACATTCTTTCATTTTTGTGTTTTATGTTTATATATATATCAATTGGTTTCATTATCAAAATCTGAGATTCAACACATCCTATATAAAAGTTAATTAATCCAAACAATGAATTCATTAGTTTATTAGAAAATGATTGAGTTGATAAAAATCATTTTTTCTTGGAAAAGAAAATTATATTACTTAAGCATGTGTTACAAATTTAAGAGTTAATCGATCACAAAAGGAAGGCTGTGATCTATCAAAATGAGCCAAAAAAATGGCTTACAAAATTGTTTGACCTAGATATTAATAAAATCACTTGTCCAGATAAATAAATAGTAATTTAGTAAGAATAATTTTTTACACTTTATTGTTTGATTGCTCATTTTTTTGCATTATACTTTTCATGGATAAGCTGCAATAAGGTGAAGTCTAAAAAAAAAAAGAATATAAATTTGCATAAAGATATGATAGGAACCTTTCAAAAAAAAAAAGATAAATAGACGAATGAATAATTGATGAGACAAATAGAACCAATAATTAGACCTGGACTAGTATAGAATTGAGAAGATAAATTTTATTTTTATATAAAAATTATATTAAGATGTGTATATCTTCAAAGTCATCTTCAGATGAACTTAGAATGATCAAACTAATCATATTTTTCAAATAAAAAAATAATTTTATGAAGAGACTTGTTAATCGTAGGGTGTGTTCAGGAATATATTTATATTTTAATGTATATTTAGAGAAAAAAAATTGAGTAAATGTGTACTTGTGTAATATCTTGAATGTTTGGTAAATAATAAATAAAAATTATATTTTTAAATGTATATTGATGTAAGTGTTGCTTGGTAAGATTGTATTTTAAAATTTCATTGAATACAATACTATATAACAAATTTACTCTTCTAATATTTTTAATATATATTCAAAAGTGAATACTTACATATATATATAATCTTATAAAAAATTTCGTATGACCTAGATATATAATAAATATAAAATAATTTTTATAAATAAATAAAATTTCATTTCATGACAATCTTATGATTTTAGAGGATATTATGGGATAATTTGAGAAATGAAAAAAAATTTATTAGCATAGTATCAAGAGAATTTGTAAAGTAACATCTAGATCAAATATAATTTAAAAAAATATCAAACATTATTTGACCACTTTTAAGGTAGGCAGTCGGAACGAAACACAACATTTCGTGGTGGGGTCACTTCAGAAGATTTATGTACATTCTGTGTGTCTTGTTGCGACGACGTACGGTAGCATCTTTGGTAAGCTTCTGATGCTGGAAGCGAGTCTTACGCCCATCGGCGACTCAGGAGGGGGAAGGGGGTGGGTGGGATCCTTAAACTATGAACTCGTTGAATGCGCACGGCACCCGAATAGGATTTATGTGTCCGTCTCAGGGCCACGGTATGGGGCCAAAAGCTACGACTAAAAATCTCAACTCTTTCTCCATATCTTCACGGGTTTTTGTGGTAGGCAAAGTATCCAAGAACATTTATTGCCACTTGTTCAGATTGCCCATCTTTACGAAGCATCTTCTATCAACAAAAGAAGATCTCTCATTCTTGTCTCTCCCAATCTCATCGATCGGGATTCATGGACTTCCTCTCAAGTTTCCCTTCTCCCGTCTTCCCAGCTCTCGCTGCTGCCAGTGTGATGCTGGCACTCTTCCTCCTGAGACCATTGCTGCAGCGCTGCTCATCAAGTGTTCACCGAAGGAAGCCAAATTATCCACCCGTCGCAGGAACAGTATTCCACCAATTGCTAAACCTCCGTCAATTGGCAGATTTCCAAACCGACCTCTCTCGCAAGTACAGGACCTTCAGGATCCTCACCCCCTTCTGCAACTATGTGTACACTGTCGACCCTGCCAACGTCGAGCACATCCTCAAAACCAACTTTGCAAACTATGGGAAGGTACTTCAATCATCTCCCAACTAAAAGGCTTTTACTGAGATGTGTGAGATATAGGGAATAGAGAATTGCCCGATGAACGTCACCTTCTTTGCAGGGGAGCTTTACTTACGATCTTATGTGCGACTTCTTTGGCGATGGGATCTTTGCGGTGGATGATGAGAAGTGGCGCCATCAGAGAAAACTAGCGAGCTTCGAATTTTCCACAAAGGTGCTGAGGGACAGCAGCAGTGTGGTGTTCAGAAGCACTGCTGCCAGACTTGCTAAGATAATCTCAAACGCTGCGAGATCTAATGAAATGATCGAGATCCAAGTAAGCGAGACTTAGAACATGCTGCCGTCCTAACCTTGCCGAGATTGACCATTCCTTCATCTCTCTTCAGGATTTGCTCATGAAGTCGACGTTAGATTCCATATGTAAAGTTGGGTTTGGTGTGGAGTTGGATACGTTGACCGGATCGACTGAAGAGGGGAGAACTTTTGCCAAGGCGTTCGACGATGCTAGCGCTCAAATAATGCTCCGGTTTCTTGATGTCTTTTGGAAGGTCAAGAGGTTCCTCAACATTGGCTCAGAAGCCAAGATGAAGAAGAACCTCAAATCGATCGATGATTTTGTGTATAAATTGATCGATACAAAGATTGAGCAATTGTCTCAACGACAAACCGGATTCGTAAGTCACACCTGGCATTGACATCTTGAAACTGGAGGTTCTACATACTGACCATATCTTCTTCATGGCAGATGGAAAAAGAAGACATATTGTCGAGATTTCTAATAGAACGAGAGAAAAATCCTGATGACATGAGCTACAAGTACTTGAGAGACATCATACTCAACTTTGTGATTGCAGGAAGAGACACCACGGCAGGGACTCTTTCATGGTTCTTCTATATGCTATGCAAGCATCCCAGTGTACAAGAAAAAGTAGCACAAGAGGTGAGAGAAGCAACCAAGATAAAAGGCGAAGTGACCATCGACGAATTCGTCGCAAGCCTAACCGAGGGAGCCCTCAACGAGATGCAGTACCTTCACGCATCTCTGACCGAGACTCTCAGGCTGTACCCTGCAGTTCCACTGGTGAACTATCTGAAGCTAATATGATGGTCGATCCTTGTTAGCACTCGGTGCCTACTTACTGACTCACATGTGTCATCATAGGATGTCAAGCATTGCTTCTCGGATGACACATTACCAGATGGATTCGACGTCAAGAAAGGAGACTTGGTAAACTATCAACCTTATCCTATGGGAAGAATGCAGTTCTTGTGGGGTGAGGATGCAGAGGATTTCCGACCAGAGAGATGGCTCAACAGTGACGGCGTATTTGTGCCAGAAAGCCCCTTCAAGTTCCCTGCTTTCCAGGTGAGGCAACCAAAAACGTGCAATTAGCTGGATAAGTCGATCTGAAGGTGATTGATTCTTTGGATGCTCGTGGTATTGTAGGCTGGCCCTCGCATCTGTCTTGGAAAGGAGTTCGCGTACAGGCAGATGAAGATCCTTGCTGCTACACTATTGTGCTTCTTTAAATTCAAGATGTGGGAAGAGATGAACACTGTGAGATACAGGACCATGATCACTCTTCAAATTTATGGAGGACTCCATCTCGCTGCTCGTCACAGACAAGGTTACTTGAACGCAGATTAGTATGCTTAAATCATGCTTTATGTTGTTATTTAATATAGCCTTCACCGAAAAAGCATGAACCTCTTATGCATCTTTAAATATTGAGGAAATGAAACTTGGTGATCCAGGACTGGAAGTCCTACTTCTATAGCTA